CTTTATGTTTGCTGTCATCCTTGTCTACTCTCTTCCCCACAACTTTTTCCACTTGCAATCAATTAAGTGTCTACCATTAATCTCACTGAACTTGGATTTAGCAAAAAAAAAGACAAAAGCAAAAACAGTTAAAAAATCAAATAATAGCTGCTTAAATATAGTAGCTAAACACCACATTTGCCACAGCTCTCTCATGCAAGTCCACTAAAAGGACAAGAGAGTAAAAGAACTATCCTATTTAGATACTTGACTCAACATCTTGACAGAAATGAGTCAAGAAAATTTTGGTAACTAGAGCACAGTGGAAATGACTTAGCAGATAAGGAATGTTGCAACCTAAGGGCCTATAGAGAGATGAAGCTAAGAATGTGACACTAAACACAAACCCAAGTAAGTTTCAATAATGAAGATTCCAGGTTCTTCTAAATACAGTGCAAGGAGTAAAACATGACAATTGATTGCATAGGCCTGGCTTGTGAGCCATTCATAACATCTGGTGATTTGACAGTCATTGACATCATGAAGGTAAGAGTTAGCACCATCTAAGGGGCGCAAGAATGCCATCTGTAGAATAAACCGTAGAGTCTGATCACGATATTGCCCTAGTATGCCACCCAGAAAAGATCCAGCAGCATCCCTGTTTTCAATGCAGAGGACAATTTTCTTTCCAGGGACTTTACCTGAACAAAAGACAGTTTTTTTGAGCTTCTACAGAGGTTTTTCTCTGTCCAGTTGACTCACCAACAGGAGAAGCAGCATGATGTTTCTTCTCTGGTTATGGATGCCACATCTTGTCATACATCCACCTTCTAGACTGGTTCCACTACATACTCACATTGGCAGAAACAAAAATGAGTTCAGGTTCCTTTGCATGGTCTAGATGTTGGCATAACCAGCAATTAGATTGACTAGTCAGTGTGGCCAGGGTTTGAAAGACTGGTGTAAAAGGATGCCAGGTCTGTGCCTGACCTGCTGGAAAAACAGTAAGGGTTAGTTAAGAGCAAGGCATAATTTGAAAGAAAAGACATAGTGGAAGATAAAAGGAAAAATGGGATAGGTTGAGGCAAACTCTACTTAGCTTTCAATGTGCAAACCTCGAAGGGGGAAGCTTAAAAGAAGAGTGTTTAAAAAGGAACATTTGGGGGAATTAAAAGACAAAAAGGAATTTATAGATGAAAAATAGTTTCTTGACCTACGATCTTGGGAAAAAGCTGTCTACTTCATGAAGACATCTGCTTCAAGGGCCTGGGAACTGGCTCTGGAAATCCTTTTAGGTCACCTGTAGGGGTCATACTCCAATTTTCTCAGTGTAGTTAGGTGTGTCTTATGTGAATCCAGGAGGATTTTTCTTTTATTTTTATGGCAGTGTAGGTAGTTGACAGTACTTTATAATTCCCAGGAAGGTGATAGCACGTATCTTCTAAAAACTTTGATGGACACAGGATCTCTTGGTCCAACAGCATGACTAGGCCTGTCAGTCGGCAGAGACCACGTTCCTTTCACCTGTTGATATGCTCCAAGTATACTTAGCACTTGTACGTAGCTAGTCTTGCTATCAAATTGTTCACTTAAATCCCAACAGTGTTCAGTCAGTCACCAGGAATAGAAGGTGTTTATAGGTGTCAGTAGGCATGGGGTGACAGAACACTATTTCAAAAGGGGTTAAACCATGTCTCCTAATAGAAGCATTCTGGATTTTTGTAAGGGCCAATAGTAATACATCTGGTCATTTAAGTCCAGTGTCTTTACAGATTTTTCTCAATGTCCTTTATTAATCAGCCTATTCCATGCTAAAATCTATACTGCAACATCTCTCTAAGAGTTGAACAAGACGGAGCACCTTAAATGCATTCTACAAATACCTCTGAGCTGATGATTTAAATGGCAGCATCAGATCAATACACAGTATTTTCCCATTACTTAGACATTTCTAAAACAAACTTATTCCTATTCTTTAAAGCCATTTATTTTCTAAAAGCTCTCAAGTTTTCAACAGTAAAAAAAAAAAGAATAAATAAGAGAAAAAGCAAATTTTCCAAGGTAGGAATCTAAGTAGCCTCTAATTTGTTCAGCTCATTCTACCTCACACATATCCACTCCAGTCAAATGTCCTCTAAACCATTCTGCACACTGAATAGAACTGACACACGATGCTTCATGAAAGTAGTGACTTTAATCAGCTACTAAGCACTAAGACCTTTTCCTACTCTTATATGTTTAATAACACAAATGCCATCTACTGTATTTTATAACTAGTAAGCAGCAATACAGTTTATTCTGTACTGGTTTATATTTTAACGTTAAGTTGAAATAGAAAAAGCATTTTACCATAATCAATGCTTCTTCATCTTGAAACAATGATAACGAGAACTCACAACTTAAATCATATTCACAGTTACCAGCCTAAGAGAAATATTTCAAATGATATAGGCTTATGTGCTTCATTAGAAATCAGGGAGGGGGAAAAAATGGCATGTTCAGGAACAACAGAAAAATGAATCTGTAACTGCAACTCCAATGTTTCATAAATGTCCTCTATTTCCATTTAAAAACTCTCTGATGTATAATTAAGCCCGCTAATAAAACACGATCCCTGAAAGTTTTGTGTATAAGCAAAATCCTCATACAACATGAGGAGAACATGGCTTATAAATACACTATATTTGTTATCAAATATAAAAACAACAGTTCCAGATTTATGTTTTAGGAAAAAAAACTAGTTTATTTTAAGTTAAGGGTCTCTACTTAAATTTATTTTGATATCAAACAACTGCAATTAGTGATGGAGGAAAACGATCTGTAATTGTGGCAGGATGCTAATTTACAAAAACTATACAAAATGAGATTAATTATAACAACTTAGCAAAGGTTCCTGAAATTAATTTTGCTTTTGGAAAAATATCAAAAGTCTTCAGATCCTGAATGATAGACTTTTATTATTTTTGATTCATGGAATTATAGCATATCAGATCTTCAAGCAACACCACCAGATGAAATCATGTATGATAAAATATTCTCCTTTTCCTGATAGCTTGGAATGTAAATGAAAACTTGTTCTTTTTTAGTGAGGGGAAAAAAACTTAAATGAGGTGTCCAATAGTATCAAATACCTGTTAGAATGGCTCATCTGCTGTAATTAAACATGGGCAATTAGCTCTACATTGTTAAAAATTGCCTTAAATCTTTTCTTTCTTTTATAAAAAAAGTTTTTCTAAGCCATTTCAAATCTCTAAGCCTGATAACAAAATTATTCAGTTTTAATTAAGAAATCCACACCCATATAAGAAATCTTCAAAATAGTACATATTTTAAAAGTGTATATAAGCAAAACTAAATTTCTTAATTGTTAACAAATCTAGGAGCAATAATTTAATAGTCTATTGCAAAATATAGGTAGCCTTAAGAGAAACATGCTTGGTCAATCTTTCTTAAGTTTTTAGGTTTGGTGCCCAAACATTTAAAAAAATAAAGAAAAAAAAAAATGACATGATTCTTTGCTAATGGCTTTTAAGACAATTTGCAGACATAGCTAAATACCCATCTAACAAAGTATCCAGTCTATCCAACTATATTTGTCATGAATTCATAAGACAATAACACATATTTCTAATATAAAATAAAAACAACAACAACAACAACCATATTTTAGGCCTAAAATGAGTTTACCTAATAAGGGTTACACGAGAAGTATCACGTAAGACCCAAAATAAACTTCAGATACAAAATTATATGATGTGGCTTCATTCAAACACCTCTAAAATTCAAACTCAAGTTAAACAACTAGGCTGGCTTTTTTATATCACCAGCTTTCATTAGGGCCTTAATCGCTCTTGCCCTCATCTCAAGTTCTAGCAGCTCCAGCTGCTGTGCAGAAGGTTGAACATCTTCTGGTGGAGGAACAGTCAGGGTGGCTGCTTTGGGTTCCTTTGGGTTAGACTCTGCCAGTCCCAGAATCTCATTCACACTTTTCTCAATGTCTTTCTCCAGGTCATCTATCTGACCAGCTTCACTTTGCACTGTATTTTCTGGAACCTCAGGAGCAGTGGCTTCTTCGTTGCATGGGCCTTCTATGTCGCTGTCATAAGCATCTGCATTTATACTGAGCACATCGCTATCTTCCCCTTTGCCTGTAACAAACAAAAAAGGGAAAAGAACTATGTAACCTAAATGCCCTGGGTAAAAATTTCCTTACTATTTATGATTGAAGGGTTGTTTTGACCCCACCTCCCACCATGGAGTCCCAAGCACATTTCATAATCATCATCCCAACCCCTTTTCTCCTGACTCCTCAACTTTAAAACAGACCTAATTTAATGCAAATTTTAATATGTATTTCATTCCAGTTTAGTAGAACATGGAAGCATTAGAAAATTTATTTCATAATATAGAGTTTCCATTATCTATTTTCCTAATTAAAATGTCCTAACATTTTACATCGCAGTGAAGTTTTTGCATTACAAAATGAAAGCTGACATTGGAAACCCTGAGGATAGAGTATTACTTATTACTGAAGAAGTAAAATTGCATTCTAGAAGGTGTTTAAGATGCTTTATAAACTACAAAAAAGAAAAAAATATCATCAGCAAGCTGGAGACCATGAGCATTGCAATTTTCCCAAATCTTTTCATATGCTTTTTCAAACACTTTGTTCTAAATCAATAAATTCAAGGAGAGTGCCTAAGGCCATTTTCTAGGATAAAACACGGTTTGATAAAGAGGATTTTAATTAATACAGTTAGTACACCATAATTTTTTAAAATATTTTTCCCATTTAGTCAAGCCCAAAGTACACCATAATTTTTAAAATTGTATTTGTTATAAAACTTCTATAACTAATGTTAAGAATTTGAATATAAATGCAAGTTATGGCTCTCAACCACCTTGTTCTTGGCATTGAATATTACTCAACTCCAGGCATCATTTACAACTTTGAGTACTTAGTTATATCTCCAATTTATCTTTTAAATCCCTATGTTAGGGAAAAAAAAGTAATGATCCTCAAAATGTTAGCTTTGATAGCTTTCTTATAGTAGGGAAAACTTATTTATAAAACATAGATTGACAGATGGAAAATTCTGATAATAGAATGTACCTGAAGGACATAAACAATTCCACTTCGTTGGTTTTATAATAGACAATTTACTGACCTTGACCAATCCTCCTACATTCTTATAATTCAAAAACCACTCCCTATTCTAAAACTAAAGTGGAAAATAAAACAGTAAATTATTTTTGTGTCTACAAATAGAATTTGTAAAACAAAAAAAATCGTTGTAGTTTTAATTATTTGATGCCAAAGAACATTTTATATATTGCCCCAAAGCAACTAGTATTTTCAAACAGCAAAAGAAAATTACAGAAAAATGAATGTAGCCTTTTGTCTTAAGAAATAATGTTTTCTGTAAATAAAGGTGGTCCCTGGGTCATATATGGACAAGATACATTCCAGAGAACATCTTTAGGTCACATTTGTTGATTAAGGAATATGCGAGTGGTGGTGGGAGGGAGAGAATAAAATAAAAAAGACAAAAAAATAAAAAAGCACATGTAGGTAATAATAATACTATAATGCCTCATGTGATAATAATACAGTGTAATATTATAATAATAATACCCCTGTACTATAGTAAGTTACAGAAACTATTGTGCTCTTTAATTCAAACAAACAGAACATAAAAACAAACTCATACAAAAGTTTAGATAGGAGAAAATTTTAAAAAGAATATTAAAGGTTAACGCTCACTTGATGCTGCATCAATGCTAGGCTAATAGGAATGTTATACTTATTCTGATCTTCTAACCAAATGAATAATAACCTTTCTATTTCAATAATTAATCCACCACACTGCTTAGTAATACCTGATTCTTTTCATTAGAGCACTGCCTTTCACACATTCCAATATTCTCACTTCATCCTTTATAATTGTTCTCATAGACAAGTGACTTAAGCCTGATGGTTTCCCAACGAATATGGTATCTGGCCTTTCTCCAACGCTTAATTATTTCTACTTTCGTTTCCATTATAATCACCTTTCTCTTTGCTGCAGGTTCACCTGAATTTGCAGTGGACTTTCGTTTTGGAGCCATGGTCATAAGGGTAAACACAGACTCACAAAACTGAATTAAAAAGTTAGGATGAAAGTGATGTTGTGCATAAGTTATTGCATAAACAATGAGACTAGCCACTAGCAGAAAGATACCTGCCAAGGAAGCGCTTATGCCATGTTGGTTTGTTTGCACTCATGGAAGAAACTATTTCCTGTATTATTAATTTAATTAAAAATTATCCTTATGGGGAGCTTTGAGAGCCTATTCATAAGTATGGAATGCCATAAGATGGGTCATCCATAACCCGGGGACTGCCTGTATTCTAATTTGAAACAAAAACAAATTTAAGAAAAGAAGTTCTAAGTTGTTCATAGCCTCAAAAAGTTAATGTTTTTTTTTTTCTTTTTTTTTTAAAGAGACAGCACCTCGCTCTGTTGCCCACACTGCAGTGCAGTGGCATAATCATAGTTACTGTGACCTCAAACTCTTTGGCTCAAGCAATACTCCTGCCCCAGCCTCCCAAGTGGCGAGGACTGTAAGCATACACCACCATGCCGGCTAATTTTTAAATTTTTTGTAGAGACAAGAGTCTCACTATGTTGCCTAGGCTGGTCTTGAACTCTCAGCCTCAAGCAATCCTCCCCCACTGGCCTCCCAAAGTGCTGGGATTACAGGAATGAATGACCACACCCTGCCTGGCCTGAAAGTTAATTTTCATGTTTTAGGCATTAAATCTTAAATTAAATTAAAATTTTAAATTAAAAGACTTAAAAAATAAATTTTTGAAAAATGTGATTTGTTTTTTAGACTAGAGGCTATTGCCAGATAATGATCGAAGAGCACAAGTGGGTGGGGGCAGGGGAAGAGTCCAAAAGTCAGGATACCTGAGTCCTAATCCTTAACTCTGCAGTGAAGTATGTCATTCTGGGGAAATCCCTTATCCTTGAAGAATTTCTCTCCTATAAAAATGAAGGGAAATTGTCCTAGAAAATCTCTAAAGTTCAAGGTCTAACATTACAGTAAGTGAAGTCTACATAAAAAATATATAAAGTGGCAACACTTTAAGCTATTCTCTTCCACCTCCCCAAGATAAGGTTACCACTCATCTTTCATTTAATATATTCATCACCTGGATAATAATTTCAAAAGCATTTCCTATTGGCAGTGGCAGCCAATGAAAGATAAATCACAAGTGAGCAAATCATGTTCTACTAATTTTTTTTCACCGATCTTTTTTGCAACAGAATTTTTTATAAAAAGTATATTTACAACATCCATACATTATAACTGAAGTTCATTTATTACCTTGGGTCCAGGGATCAGTGCGTTTAATGACACAACTATGTAATCCTCTTTATAAGCTAAATCACAAAATTCAAAGCAGCACACTTATATGAAATTGATTTGCTTTGGATCTATATGCAAGTAAATTTTAAAATAATAGCAAAACTTAGAGGTATTTTCATTAAGTGAGAAATCTACACTAGTAGATCCTATAGACATATGTGGCAAATCTTCTAGCTGAATGTCACTGTCATGCACCACCAGCCTGTATTTCCCACCAAAAGACTTTAGGGATATATATGAATGTGTATAGATATTTTAAAAAATGAGAATGTATATTATGTTTATTTCATTTTTTTCTGGGGCGGGGGAGGGTCTACAGTTTTCAAACACTTCAAATGTCTAAGAAACACCGAGCTATATTTTTTCCACTTAGTTCAGATCATTTTTAAAGCCTATTTATATAACCTTATTTAAGAAGTAACCACAGTTAAAGAGCCACTCTACCAAATAGCTACTCTATGTTATATGAGTTTAACATAATAAAAATCTCTATCTTACAAAGTTATCAGCACCAGAGATTTGGGATCAAAATGTTTATACACACAGTCCCAATATTTCAAAGGGGAAAAATCTGGACATTTTTTTCACTTATATTTTTGTATGTTTCTGACTTTTTAGCTGGCAGAAGGTGGGCTTTGCTTTACTTCTTTGTTTTTATATCAGAAACACCATACATATTTTACCACTGAAGGAACAGGGCTCTCTAAATTGGTATTCTCTGTTTACATTGAAAATTACCCAAAATCCAAATGACCGAGTTCTCAATAACACAGTACTGCTAAACGTATTCATAGGTTCCATCTGTCCATTATAACTACACCATAGATGCCAAAAAGCTTTTTATACATCTGAAACAATTTAGCATAAGCACTTTATCTCACAAATGCAAAAAACAAGTTAAATGACTTGGACAATAGGATACAACAAATTATTTGAAGATCTTAGAATCACACTTCAAGTCTTCTCACTATTTCTAAATTTTCATCATTCCAATGAAATCAGAGTCCGTAATTTGTTTTTTAAAGCATCATCTGCAAACATAGGAATACATTTCCAAAGATAATTTACTCTCATGTTGTTATTAAAAAATGTAGATTTTTTCCTATCAATTATGATTCTCAAAGTAGAAGAGGTAAAATTTATACATTCTTTCTAAAAAAGTAATTTCATCCCCAAATGCCTCATTCGAAGCCCTTAAAATTTCAGTGTGGTCATGTTTTGTCCCTCCAAACTCCCGCTGTGCACCCTGTGTGTGTATTTTCAGGGAGAAGTGAGTATTACGTAAGCATTCCACAAACAAGGAAGCATCTTCAAGTTTTCACACAGGCTTAAGAGTCTTGTTTTCTTAAGAAAAACAAATCAATATAAAATGTAAATCATCTCTACTCCTTTAAATAAAATCTAATCAATAGTAAGATATAACACGTAATATCTATTTTAATAAAGTTTAGAATCACTTTTCACAAAGTTATGTTCAAAAACTGTTTAAGTAACAATTAGGAGTAATCATATACTGCTATGATTAATGGTAAAAAAAATTCTCAAAAACCAGCTTGTGAACTAAATGTGTTTGGGCTTTACAAAGGCACTAATACTTAAGACCACTTAAATCTTTAAGTTTTTTTAAATATCTAAACAAAAAGATATAAAAACAGTTTTGATGCATGCATCATGTTTAACTAAGGTTATCAAAATCCAATGAGAAAAAGACAGTTGGGTCGGCAGTGAAATG